CAAAAACCTCTTATATGATCCAAGTATCAGAATATTAATTTTTTATTTGAATTTTTTCTTATATTAATTGTAAGAGGCGACAAAAATCCCTTATCCAAAATATATGGCTAGATATACTCCTAGCCAGAGTATTCTGATCACGTTATTTTAAAATAGCAATTATATATATTCAATGATTGCTAAAGATTTATTTTTCAACTCTTTTTTGTGCGGAGTAGTAGGAACTTTTATTTTAGTGTCAAAATTTCGCTTATATTCCAGGAAAGCGACCTCGTCCATACTCTCGCGCTTTTTTTTCCAATAATTATGATTATCCCGCATTTCAAAGGCAATCTTGGTTTGCCATTGCTCCAATTTTTCTTTCGACATTTGGAATTTTTGCTGTAAAAGAAGGATAAGGGCATCGATATCAGATTCATTTTTAATGAGAAACTCTGAAGATAAAGAAATCAAAGGTTCAGGTATATTTTTTTCTGTTGTGCTAACTTCACCAATAGTGTTATCGATGACATGGCATATATCTTGAGAAGAATTGAGATCTGATTTTGGGGGATCCACGATTACATTATTGCTTAAACAAGCATCGGGAAGAATCATTTTTAGATTTCCATCTATTTTAAGTTTTAAGTGTGTAAGTTGATTTCTACGATCTTTTTCTCGGTAAAATGATACTTTAAATTCCTTTAGTGGTTTGAGAAGAAATTCCATAAAATACTTTAGATTATAGTTAGCGTGCGGTCTCCATTTTTTCCCAAATATTGCATAGTAACGACGCTCATTTTTCTTATAAATTGGTAGGAAGTTCAGTAAATTAATATCAAAATCTTGACGTGATAAAGTATAAGATGTATGAATACCCGAAGAAAAACCTATTCCTCGTAAAATCTCCTCTAAGGCAATAACTTTTGGTAATAATGAATCGCAAGAAGCCTTCTCTCGTGAGTCTCCAATAACCATAAATCTATAATTCTCACGTAAGTCATCAAGAGGGTTTACAGCTTGAACTAATGTACTATACGCATTTCGCATCTCTTTTTGGAAATATTTTTTAACAAAATCTTCAGTTATATCTTCAGGGGTCTTTTTATAAAAAGATGCTAGATTGTATTTCTGTAAAGCAAGTCTCCAGGCTGGGTCTATATCCTCTTCTCTTTCTAAGCATTCTCGAATATCCGAAGCTTCGATATCACTCAAAACTGGAGCATTAGCAATCATTGAATACTTTTCTGTATCCAGAACTTTTTTGATTGAACATACATTTAAAAGCAATTCTTTGCCTTCATTATTTTCTGTGATTTTTGAATCAATAAAAGGGCAATCTTCAGCAACACTAATGTCATAACCGCATTCACTAAGACGGTCAGCTAGTAAATCTACAAAATTGTTTATAGATGCATTACGGTGGGATGTATTATAGAGATGAGTTTCTAAAGATGCGTTTGGTTTAAAAATCCATTTGCCATCAAGAGTAAGTGTTTTATTACAATGAGCTTCCTCTAAGTCGGGATATTCCGCGACATTACATCGATAGCTGATAAAATGAAGTAAATCTTCACGGTCTGTCGGCAAATTATCGCCACGTAAATCCGTTAGAACATACACTACATTTTGATTTAACTTTCTAACGTGGTGCAACATCTGATACGCTTCATTGCTTGTTAGACCGGCTAATGTGCAAAAATGTGCAAACGTCATATCGAAGTTTTCTATTGTTATACTTACACTGCAAATCATGACTGGAGTTGCTATTAAATAATCGAGATTTGCCACTGCATCGTTAATATCGGCAAATATGTCTTTTTTCTCTGTTTCTGATAGCCGTTTGGAAAAACATTTACCTCAATACCCATGAGATGCCAATTCTTTATGAAGAGCTTCTGCCATTTCCGCACTAGCAAACATTGGAATATAGACTTTTAATCCTTGTCTCAGAGCTCCAATTAATTCAGCATTCCATTTTTTGGTATTAATATGTATAAGAGTATGACGTTTATCTCGTATATGCTGGTTCCATATCACGGTTGAATTTTCGGCATCTATTTTCGAAATATTTTGTAAATGTATAAGCGAGTCTGAATCTAATATAGCATCTAAAGCCAATATCAATAATGCAGATTGAAGCAAGAATTTATATACGTTGTGGCTCAGCTTCAGTTTTTTCATAGTAGGTCCACTAAAATTCTGAGTGATAGTTTCAAACTCATCTAGTATAATTATATCATAGCCAGTTGCTCCAAGTTTGTGAATGCTTTCGGGACTGATAATGAGTTTCGGAGTATCTTTAGGATTAAGCTTTTTCATATCCAGTTTGAGATAAGACTTAAACCCTTCGAAAAGAACTTTTTAACCATGGGCTAGACTACACCGGCCGGAAATGATGAGAATTGAAACGGAAGAACCATCAGAATGACATAGTGTTTTTATTTCCTCTGCTGTCTTATTTGATTTGCCAACACCGCAATGTCCTTTAATAAGCATCAAGTGCCGGTTACCGCTTGTAAGTTTAGCTTGTAAATTATAGCTACGCATTGTTTTAGCATTATATATTTCGATGTTTTTTCCAATAGCAGTAAAGTTATTTTGTGAATGAGATTGTAATATA